CATAAGAATTTTCATGCCTGGAATACTGATTCTATGAGAGATAGAGCTAGTTTTGTTAACTATTCTATCAACGGCTCAAAGAATTCAAACCTTAATACACATGGTGGTAGTCTAAACCTCTCAAAAGGCAACAATCTACAAACACTTACACCACCCAAAATATTAATTACTGTAGGCCTTTTTAATTACTGCAGGTTTGAATAGTTCGAGTGATCATACTGACGTAAAATGGCAGGTTACAAAAACACCAATGAACAGTAGCTATCACGCTTGTTCTAACCTTCAAAAAACTGTATCACATACGAGTTCCTACATTATATTTTTGGCTCTTAAATAGATCCAAATAGTGTAATGTCAAAGCCTCTCGGCCGAAGATCTCACGTCCACCCTGGACGTGAAAATGAACATGGAATGAAAAGAAAGAACGAGAAAAACTACATTAGGCAGATCCTCTCCTTGTACTGCCAGTGAAGACCACATTCAACCCATAGAGGTGCTAGCTTAGAGTCTTACGACCACAGACCCGCGTCTTGGATGACAAGTGACTGTGAGATAGAACTATGCGGGATAAGAAACAAAAGATTGTTACTCTCTCTTGGGAATACCACCAAGAGTTGCACCTGGGGTGAGCCCATTGCTATTGTAGCCACCTGAAACATTGACTCTTCCTCCATCTCCGAAGTAATCTGTCATCCCCCTGCCCATATGCATATGGCTGTGTATTGCAGCCTCCAGAATCCTCGAAACTCGCATCAGCATGAACATTCACGTTCAGATCCACACCCGATGAGGCTTTACTTCTGGATGTGTCGGATGTTTAATAGATAGACTTGCTCCATTGTTCAGATTTCCACTTACATGTGATCTCCTGACAACGAGGAGAATACACTCCTCCTTCACACTTCAAACTAATTTGCTATCCTGATTTCACTTCTTTTCAAACTGAATTCTAGTTAAAATTGACAGCTGCCTTTGATTGATGTTCCAGCTTCTCGTTACAAACGATGACTCAATACTACGGAGTACGTCGTGAAATTTACATCGGTCCGCAGACCTGGAAGCAAAGGATCAGACGATCCTATGGGAACTAACAGCTCATTGGTAGGAGATAGAAGAATGGGATCTCAAATCCTGTAACTTGTGAAGTCCAGCAGCTTCTTCAAAAGCCGATAGCAATTCGTCATCATACGACTGTTATCCTAACAGTTCAAACCTCCATGCACAACAATTCGGTCTTGTCCAGCCTTCACAGCTGTGCGCAACGAAGTAATTTCTGAATTCCCTCCAAAAGAATCTCGGAAGAGAAACTACTGCACAAAACCCCCGCTGGAAAATTTTGCACTAATCTAAGTATCTGGTTAAATCTGAGAATTGCGGTGTCACTGCTCTCAGATTTCGTCACTACCTACTTTTAGATTACGGCACTACCTGCTTGTGAGCTGACTGAACTTCCTAACTGCGCATGCAGTAACCTGGAGAGGATTCGGAAAGAAGTATGAGAAAAAAAATGTGTTTCTTACAACTCCATGTGCTGGACATGAACGAATCCGTGAGGTCATTCTTCTACAAGTGTTATTCGCAGTTCTGAATCAACTAGTTCTTGTAGTCCCACGTGACTGTACCTCATTCCATTACAACTTTCACGTTCCCGAGCAAATCTAAAACCTAGCTTTCTGTACGATGAACCGATTCCAGTTCTGCCAACAGATTTGTTAAATTTTGACGAAGGAACTTTCCAATTCTACACGTCCCAAATCAAACCAAAGGCAGAGGTTGCACTACACCATGTCCGCACGAAAAGTACTAAGGATTTGCATCAACATGGCTTGGTTTGCAAGATCCAAAGATTGTTAAATCAGAGCACTAAATCTCCCTCGGTACTGTGTAGAAACGTCTTGACGTCTTACACTCCTTCTGGCTCTTCTTAATTCGCGGAATACACTAACTCCAAATTGTCAACTCAATATTGATGATAAATCAAACAACCTGTTTCCAAACTTCTCCTTGTCAAATCTGGTCCGTCGTCGAGGCCCCAGGCCTCCCACAGGTAGCCTTCTGCACGACGCAATCTTTCGTTTCCAATTCAATCCATGAGTCGTAACTCGGTGAAACCCTTCTCAATAATTTGCAAATTGACATCCGGTCAACCAACCTCAAACAAGAATCGAACGACACATCTGGTGTGTATGCAATGAGTTCTTCGAGTGAAATAAACGGGAGATTCCCCGCTGAAATTCTCGTCGGTCGTTTACCCTACTGGCAAAACCGTCACCGTCACAAACATAGTCAAGCCAAACCCACTCCACACTCGGAGATTGCAGGTCGATGCTCCCGGGCACTACTCCCAACGCGTTAGGCTTGACTTGAAGAATTGACGTTTTTCGAGCCGTCTCCAACCTATACACTCCGACCTGAAACTCTATGCTCGACCCTATACACTCCGACCTGAAACTCTATGCTCGACGCTATTGTTAGAAAAACACCAAAAACTACATGACAATGCTCCTTCTACATACTATGCTTTTGTTATTGACTTAAAAATGCATTTTTTCACTGTAGATCTCCAACAAATGCATCCAACTCCGCATGTGAAAACATGTTATGTTGTAGAATTTTTTTGTTTTAAAATAATGTCCAAAATTAACATCTACATTTCTTATCAAAAATATGGTATTATCTAAACTAACATCAAACAATAAACCAACATACTTTGTAACTTTTAGATATTTAAGAATTCATTTAACTCTCTCCTAATGAACCTTATACTGGACTTGAATCTACTTACTTTTCTTATAGTTAGATTGCTACCTGATCTAGTGAAATCATCAAAAAACATGATATTTCCTACTATTTTATCATAAGGAATGTTAGATATATCTCATTTATCCTCATCAATAGTAGGACATTGAGCATTAAAACATTGGAAATGAGTTGCCAACATAACGCTCATTTCTCAAACTTTGTGTTTTTCATGTTGAGTTTTGCAAGCATTTGCTTGGTGTACTTGGTTTGATCCAATCATAGCTTAGAATGATATGTCAATAGACACGACGTTGACTAAATTTCAAACTTTTTAGTTTGATCTTTAGACTAAAATTATATATTTTGCAACTCATCAAGGAATGTTAATGATGTATGACTTGTACATGATGTTTGTTCTTATTGTATTTATTATGTAAAAAATATTTCTTTATATAATTTTAATATCAAATAATTCATTTTATGAGAATAATCAATCTTGTAATATTGAAAATATTTGATTAGTTAAAATTTAAATATTTTATAAGATCTAAACTAAATGTTTGAAGTTAGATTCATACATGATATGATAAAAAAATTATTTCTTTGTTAATATTAAAATACAAATAGTTTTGAGTTGAACTCTTAAACAAATGTTTGATATAGAATTAAATTATAAAATTATGTTATGATGACAGAATCATAATAAAACATATAAGATAAAGAGCAATACCATCTATGATAAAATCAACTAGATTATAACACATAAATAATATGTACTTCACTCTCGTTTGCAAGAGTAACTTGTTAATTGTCATAGATAATGTTGATTTAAAATTTTGTGAACATTATATGATGGCAAACATCAATATGCAATACAAGACTTTGATATTGGTTATTAAACAATTACTTGCATGTGAACAATGCAATTTATTCAATTATCATTGCATGTGTATGAAACTTTGACTCCAATTTATACCCAACTGGAATCAAAGTGTTAATCCAAAAAAGTAATATTTATATATAATACTAAAATGTCAAACATATTTTTATGTATATATACATATGATATTGTACTCTAATCTGTTCAAGATTTTAATTATATGTACTTGAATAATAATTTCATTAAATATTTTCGATTTTGTTTTTTAATTATAATAAAATAATTTTATATTACATTCCAATAGAAATAAAACTAATTTCATCTTAGTAAGTGGAAAAAAACACATTATTATATTAAACAACTGAGTTTACACATCTCTTGCATCTTCATTGGAAAATTTCCAACTCTCGTGAAAATAGAAGAGATTGGTGGTCAGAAAACATAAGAAAATCTAAGATACATTGACAACAATTGCATAAAATGTAGAACTTTTCTTCCTCCTTAATGTGCAAATTTTGAAACACAGTAGCATTTTGGTGATATTGGATTTCACGACACAATTATATTTTAAATTCTGCGCCCTTGCACCGTTTCTGATCCTTTGGTCTTGGTATCTAACCCTTACTAAATCTATAGATGATAGACTCTTTCTATTATTTATCATTTGAGTGTCAATTCCATATATCACATTCAACGGGAATTCGCATATTCTCGAACAGATTGTATGTGGCCTAGCCAGTACATCCAGCAAAACATAACCCGCAGGGGAGGCAAAGTGAATTCAACTATGACATGGATAAGACTTGTAAAAATATCTACAGAACTTAGATATGCTGCGCATGAACTACTGTACTGTCTCCCAACACCAAACTTTCCTCTACATATCGCCCCAGCAAATCTAGGATTTTTTTTATCTTCCCACCTCACAAATCGTAAAACACCTTTCACCAATCTCTTGCTCTTTATACTCTTCATAATGACTTCCCTAGTCTGCGCTTCAGCTTTGCTATTAGACACTGTAAACCACAACTCGTTGAGTTCCATACACTTAGTTCCACTTTCCAATCCGACAACAGCACACTATCTTCCATCTTTATGAGATTCAAAATTCTGGAGCCTTGGTGCATTCAATGAACAGACATATACAATGAATACTCACTCATCAATGGAACCAGTTCGTCGATTCTTTTTCACACTTCCAGTAGTTGTGACAGGCAGAGACATGTATTCAAACACATACGGCGTAATCGAAATGTCGTCATGCGGTAAAGGTAGGCATCACGCAGTTGAGGAAAATGAAATAAAGGCTCAGGTAATGACATTACTTACAACGTCACGATGATATGCAGGTGCACGGGCAAAGTAAAACAGAACATGGAATAATGAACGACGGTTCACCATTACGGAATGAACGAACATGTGAGAAAAATACATCCCTACAAAATTGAGTTGCGACTATAATCTTAGCCCGTTAAAAAGCGGGCTTTACAATGTAGAAGGAATATGCTGGTAAATGTGTAATTCTAAATTAAGATGTGGACGGCATATCCATACCCCAATATATATATGTATATGTACAAAAGCTAAAGCACATTCCCTCACTCGTCGACAAAGTTGCTGCTAGAATTACGTGAGTCTAAAAAATCAGCTAAACGTAAAGCGCAAAAATGTGAAGTGTAAAAAAAATTTGCAAATAAAAATATTGGGCTTTAAATATTCGTCATAGCACTACATTTTAGCTCCGAATTTCTTCCCAACGCTTCCTCAAAATCTGCAAACGGTCAGCTATATTGGAAGTGCTACGAGTGCCCAAAACAGCTCTTTACTACTTCGAAGAGAAAAGGTGGCGTTTACTGTAATCACTGGGACCGTCTCAAGAGTTTTTGCAATGGTCGACTTCGAGTAACTCCTTAGAATCAGCGACGTCTGCCACCTGTGCATGCGTGGGTACTGCAGCTTCAATTGCTAGCAAGCATGGGCCTGGTAAACCTTGGACAGAGACACTTCCAGTACGAGCTGCGTCCAGAGCTCCCAAAGCAGCCACCTGAGACCAACCCAGATTAACCGCCAAATCTTCCACAGCAACTTTCGCTACATCTTTCCTAATACCGATATCAGTTGCATATCTACAAAAGAAGTACACTCCTGCTGATACCGCAGCTGCGCCCCAGGGGTTTGCCATCATGAACCTCAAAGGGGACGAAATCACCGCAGCGAAAGGAGCACCAAATACCGACGCAGCTTGACCACTACGCCCAATGAGATTCTTTTCGACTACCAGAAGGCCCGTCTTGCAATAGATGGCAAAATCCTCACAGTTGTTATGAAAGATATGATAACATCCGAAGCCATTGTTTAGTAAGTACTCCGCACGGTGAAGGACAACTTCGGCTGGGTCAGTCTCAGCCAGCGTGCAAGTTCCTCCCCGCGCTTTCGCCAAGAAAGTTATTGTTTTCTCCCCATACTCAAACCGATACAAAGGACAACCGGCCAAGAAACAAGTCAGACAGGACTCAACAACACCATTGCTCTCTCCGTGCATACCGCATTCCGTGCAACTGTGTGTAGCTGAGTCAGGCCTTGAGCTTGCAAGGAAAACATCGAGATACTGATTTCCAGTTCCTAACTCCTCATTCCGTCCCCTCGTAAAATGTACGACTTTATTCCCTCCGCAGTAGATTCCTGTGCAACATAGACGCGATGCTGTTCATCAGTATCAAATACACTCCCTTCTCACAAGGAAGAAAGAAGCAGGCCGAGAAACAGCACAAGAATACACAAGGCATCTCCAAGTTGTCCCGAAAGCGTTGGTGTTAATAAAAAACAAAGAAACTACAACGCGCTCTGTCACCGATCTGCGCAATCCATAAGATCAACATGCTTTAAGTGGGCGCGCTTTCCAAGATCCCTCCACTACGCAGGCTACAAAAGCCGTGCAGACTTCCGATAGTAGTTGTCCATCAGTCCTTCACAATCTCTGTACTCGTGGTAAGACTATTTGGAGAAAGCCACGACTCAAACAAAACCCTAAAGAGGATATCACGAAGTCTGACGAAAGGCAATAATAAGGAAGACAGTTGATGTCCATCGACGATCACCAGCAACTATCCGTCTCTAGAGACAATAATCAAAAGATGATCCGACCATTGATGTCTGGCACACCAGTCCACACAGCGGAAAATTCTCCTCGAAAGCACAATTCAGAAGCAGTGAACACCTTTGCACTACCGTGCACTGAGAGACACAATCCTCGTTAGTCTTCAACAAGTCTTCCTCAACAACCCCTTCCTTCAGTTCCAACACATAAACTACAACAAATCGCACTCCACATACCATGATGCGCATAAGTATAGGCCGATCGCCAGGAGTAGATATGGTCTCCAGGCAAGAGGTCCTCCTTCAGAACTCTGTTCGACAAAACGCCCATTCCTCCTCGCCCCTGAGTACCGATTCGAACTTCCGCTCGCGCGACAATGCAAGCCCCCTCGGCAGTAGCTGCTAGCACGCAGCAACAAACCTACCTTTGTCGCTGCTGGGCTAGCAACCCACGCCGCAGGAGAAAAATCCCCGCAAACAACACCTTCTCGACACAATCCTCAAACCAAATCCTCCGTTTGATAAGCAATCAGCAAAGCGAGGCTTCTCTACTACTCTCTCCCGCTAGTTTGTACCAAACGGCCCCTGGATTTAAACCAAAAGGACACAACACGCTTTCAGATGATCCGATCCGACCCGTTAATAGATTTGCTCAACAACGTTACGCTTTCTTTCTTCCTTCCCTCCTTTTTCGTCGAATGTCCCACGACACTTCCAGATTCTGATGCCCTGTCTCCTCCCTTACGTCAAAACTAGACACATTGAATTTGCCATACCCACAATTGACACTCAGCTCGGTCTCCAATCACACTTCGTATTTTGCGCGTCGGCTCTGGGATTTGCTGGAGATAGCGGTGGCGGGGGAGGTGGCAGAGGTGTCTTTGAGCGCAAGAAATGGTATCCCCAATCAGAATTGGCGCCTTCAGCATCGCCAGACTCGCCACCCAGTCAGCAAATTACACCCGGGAGTCTCGGTTCTGGGAGTGACGTGACGATCTCTGGTTTGAAGTAAGCTCGCAGTACTGTCCATTACTTTGACATCTATGCACCAAGCGACAAATCAACCCTGTTCCGTACTCCATGTCTTTCTACTCGCGTACCGGTAGTATAGAATTGCTGCTTTTTGCCAGTACATAATCAAGAATTGAGCGGGGCCAAGTGGATAACATAAGACAGACAAATATCCCTCTTAAGATTCAAGGTTTAGACGAATTTAGAATGCTAATGAGTAATATTATACCCTGGACGTAGACCTGAAACTCTGTGCTTTGATGTCATTTATTGTGTCGTGGCACGTGGAAACCAGATGCATGGCGTGGTTATCGTTAATTTGTCCAAACTTACAGATTGAGCACTTGAATAATCTACACAGACACTGAATTTTTTTCAACTATGAGATACTCATTTATTACATTTGGGATCTAAATATATTAATTTTTATCGTTTCATTGAATAATTGTGACAATAGTCTTACCTTTTATCTTTGACTTTTTTTCTTCTCTTCGTCATTCTCTAGTATCATTTAAAATTTTCTTATATTATACATTTTTTCCATTTATGCATGAGCATCAATTCAGCTAAATAAAGACAAACATACATATGATTATGATCATCATCGATTTTCTTTTAACAGATTATCATCATTACGCTATTAAACGATGAACGGAAATGAATAAAGCATTGTAGAATGAAATTATTGTGCGGCATGTGATGCTTTCCATAGTGACATGGTTAGATACTTTTCAATGTTAAACACAACGTTTACACATTACATTAACTAATTACTCTTTAATTATGATAATTAATTCCAGTACATATTTTGATTTACATCAACTTAACACATGCATATGAGCTTTGTGTGTACATTCTCACAATAGTGTAATTTTAATCATTTCACATGTAGATATAATAACTTCAATGGGCTAATCTTCATTTTTTGATAGTTGTGTCTATTGTTTTTTAGATTGAATCATAATAAAAAAAAATAAAAAAACACATACCGACATTGAAGTATGTGGTTCACCATTGAAGACTATGTACACTACAACACAAGAAATTTTTACCAATGAAAATTCGAAAGTATCATAGGAATCTTTTGTTAGCTCTAGTATAGTGACAGCTTGACCTAAATGTTAACTAGTATTAGATTAACCTAAATTAATAGATTTTTTTATTGACTACTAACAATCTGCTCCCTTATCACATCGTGAAGATAGTACCTTTCACAACCTTTATAATTAATCTACAAAAATTTCTTTAAAGATTTGTAACATAGTACTATCTTTAAACTATAACTAATTATATCTAAGCCGACATCAAAACATAATAATGTAAAAATATATAAAGTTAAAAAATTTGCAAGTAAAATCTACATTGTGCAAAGTAATACAATATTTTTTTAAATTTCTAAAATAATAACATTAATTCACACATCAGCTGTATTGATGCACAACCTGAAAGTAACGCAATGTAATTTAAAACTTTTTAAAAGAATAACTATTATTACAACGTTAACGAGATTTAATTCACAATCAAACTTGATTAATTCTTACATTTCATCACAAACTTCATTCGATAAAATGAGACTTGATGTCTTTCATTCTGCTATATATCATTTGATGTCATAATTTAATTTGTAGCAAGATGTAACGCACATGGTTTGTTTTTTAGGCAAAACCATTTTGCGTGTGTTAAGTAGAATTCTTGACCTTGGATTCTCAAAGGATTCAATCACAATGCATATTTTGGCAGTCTAACAATGAGTATTGACGGCCTATTGTTTTAATCTCATCTCAACGATAAGTCTTTTCAACCTAATAGTTTTCTTTTCTTGCTTTTGTTGTTGCTAAATATATAATTTTGTTGTGGAATGAGCTATGCATTTATGCAAAGTGAATTTTCAACCGATAAATTCACCATTAAGTATAAACACATACTTAGTTGTAGAGATTTTCTTGTACAAATCTTGTCCATAGCTATCATTGACATATTATGCAAGGATTTGAAATTGTTTTATAAATCATCATATAAAATTTCATAATTTTGAATATTTTTCAAAATAAAAATCCAGTTCAGTGCTTTAAAATACATCCTTTTTTACTTTAACATGTATCCACTCAAATTTTTCATAGCCAAAACAATATCTAATCTTATTACATTTATGAGATGCATATGTGTACTCATGATTTTGTTATAATAAATGAATGACACGTTTGTCTTCTCAATGACATTGATAAAATAGTGAGTTGCATAAAATTTGAAGCATGTTGTCAATAATGTCTATATACTAAATTTTTGATGTTAAACATGTAAAGCATAGTTATGTTGAATCTTAACATAATATTATCATCTATATTCAATTCAAACATATTTTGTTTGAGCTTCGTTCAAGTGTTTTTGAAAGTAACATTCCAGTAGATAAAATTGTGTTCCCATATAATGTATAAATCAGACTTAAATCAATAGACATAAGACACTATCAAACATTTTAATCATAACAAATTTATTATCTACAATTCAATAGGGTTGATTGATCTTAACAACAAAACTATTAAATATTAAGAAAATAAAAATATACCCCTTAATCTATTAAATGTAACAAACAAAAACCCATTTTAAAATCCATACATCATCGATATTTTTCAGAGTTGCATAAAATATATTTTTGACATCATAATTCATTTTTTTTAGCAAAATATACTTCTAAAAGTTAAAATTTCAGCCATATCATCACAAAAATTCATTAGTTTGATCTTCACGCCACGATTCTTCTTAAAGTCACCATTGTTTTTCTCTAATACTATATTATTTTATTTCGTTTATTCCTAAACTTTGATTTATTTCTAGATTTTACATGCTTGCCATCGTTTTTATTCCAAAAATACCAAGATAAATTATAATTTTTTCATAATTATTTTTTAAAATAGTATATCTTCATCAAATGCACAACTTTCAATGATTATCAATATTTGTAATTTCTTGGTTTGATCAAAATCCCTTTTTTTGGCATGGATTCAAATAGACATGTAGTAAATGGTAATTTATCCTTTGAATCTTGCGATATTTATAGTATTTAAAAGTTAATAATCTGAAAACAATTGGAACTATCCATGATAACACAAATAGACTCTCAATGATTGTAGAATATAAATGATATTTTCTTTACCATCTAACATTGAAATTAAGTCAAAATTGAGATAATCATAAGGTTAGCTTCTTATTTGGTTAGTATCATACATCTCATGGCTTCAAAATGTTGACATTGATTTAATAGAAGTTGAAAAAAATGTATTGACATGGTGAAAAAAAACTGTCTTCTAGAAATTGTCGATAATCTAGTTGATTTAAAGTGTGAGCAACTGTATAATGTTAGTATTTTTAAAATAGCATTATACATATTAAAAAATCATTTACACATAAAATACAAGAGAATCAAATGCACAAAATAAGGCTATGTCTACCTAAACAAATTTTATTTTTTTATAAAAAATCTGAAAGTTAGTTTAATAAAGAATTATAACCAGTTCTAAATAATTAAATTATCTCTATTTAAAACATTTTATTAAACAAAACCTGATATGATTATCAAAAAAATTACTCTTTTTTTTCAAATTCTGAGATTTTAATCTCTTTAATAAAACATAAATCATTATAATAAATTTAACATATACATTTGTACGATTACACAAATTAAAGCTGAGCTATAATTTTAATAATTATTTTTTTTGGGAATGACATAATTGCCAGTTTTCCTTCTATATGATACTCGTGTGAAATCAACATATACATACAATGTTTTCTACATTTTTGATAAATATATAAAGAAATATAAAATCTAAGATGTTAGTATATTTGGCGTAATATGTGACATGAAAGATTGAAACAATTATTTTATAAAAAAATGAATATCAAAATGATATACTTAATAATAACATATACATGTAAGGCCCAACAAGATCGATTAGTACGCACGATAGTCATAACAAGGAGATAACGGTGATTCACCTTCCACATGTTACGTTCACGAGCAAGAGTAGAAACTTCATTAAAACACACTTGTATACACGGCCTTCATAGCCAATCTTTTCTCTTTTCTACTCGCTTCTAAAGTGCAACTCCAAACTGTACATAGTGAATGTCTACTCTCTTCTATACAAGAAATTATAACTTGCATATCCTAGCCACAGTTAACTTCTCTAACCATGAATATGGTTAGTTAAGATAGAGTTAACTTAACAATACAATCTACTTATATTTCAAAAAGAAAAAAAGATTCCATAAATATTCAATAGAGATAGTATTTATAATATTTTCCTAAGCATTTTGAATTATGTTGTCTTATCTAATTAATTTGAATTGTCTTGTCTTATCTTTAACAATCTATGTTCAAAGTTGATGTTTTACATTAAACATTGATAGCCAATGAAATTTTATAAAATTCTCCAAAAATTCAAGATTTTGATGAAGTTATTTTTCAACACAAAAATCATAATTTAAATATAATTAGTATTTTAGCATATATAAATTTTTGCAACACAATTTGCAAACTTGTATTGATTGCACATGTTATATATTGTTTTCAATCGTGAATGTTTTGATTAAATATTTGAATGAATTTAAAAATTTTAAATTCAATATGTAATAGTATATTTAAAAAAATGAATACATAATTTAAATTCATAAAATATAATTTACATAAAATGAATTTTTATTTAATTTGATGTATATCAAATTACTATGTCTGTAATTATTGTATTTCAAAGATATTTTCACATATTAAGTACATGTTTATTATGAAGTTTTTGGATATTGTATTGGAAATTTTCTTTATGTTGAACATGCTTATGAGGTTTATGCTTGAGTTCAGCCTACGCTACATTATTCTCTTAATTAATTTTCTTATCGTGAAAGTAAATTTGATAATTTCAGACTTTCTCCGTCTCAAAGTTATTGTCCAATTCACAGTTTTTTTGCGTCCCATCTTTATTGTCCTATTGTTATTGCGTTGTGTTTAGACCGTTTAGACGCTCTCGAGCGTTGGTGTACAGTGCCAATGGACAGGCAATGTTATCCGGGAGAAGTCCTTGTCGCGCCAACTTCAAGCTGTCAAATCGTTAGAGCATCCCAACATGAATTCATACACCGCTCGGCGCTGTCCATTAGTCAGATTCTTCTGCTTCTGAGGCACGGACGTCCCCTCACAGAACGCATCATCGGCACCGCCTTGCATTCATCCAAAAGAGATCCATTCGAGGGCGAACCTTGATCGACGTTAAGTTGATAACCTCCACTACCGACACCTTGATTGGCGGACGTAGGAACGATCATTGTTTATCCACCAGTACTTTGGCAGATGACACGCAGTTACGAAAGTGGTTTTGGCGCCAAAACTTTTGCTTGCAAAGAGTGCCAAAGTTCAAAGTTTTGGGAACCGAAAAACACTTCTAAAATTTACATTTTTGCATCGCAAAACAACAAAAAAAGATTATTTGAACTTACTCCCGGTGTTTTAACAAAAATTGTATAATAATTATGGGACGGAGGGAATACTTGTTATATGATAAATTGAAGTCTTTGAAATAAAACTTGTATGAATTATTCATGACAACTTCTTACGATAAAGCATATAAGCAGACATAACAAACAGTACTGCTTGCAATAACTTTAAATGTTTTGAAAATTTGATGAATAATTATCACATGCTAACAAAGAGGTTGGATCACTTTTTTATATGTGTTTTCTTGTTAGATGAATATTTTTATGGGTGTAATCACATTTTTTGTCAAACATGTAAGTGTTATATGATGTGTAGAAATGATTTCGGTGATCGTCGATATAAATTCAATTTCCACCAATATGAGTTAATTTCCACAAAAGGAGAATATTTTCACAAGGGATGATATGAAAGAGGTTTATTTGTAATGGCAGAACTTCTCAACACGCATAAAAAATGGCTAGAGCTAGACATCGTGAAAGTGTAATGCTGAATTCATTGATATTTTTTTGTAAAACTGTTATGAATCACTGTTGAAGAGATTTCTTTCTTGATGAATCAGAGGATGTGCATTTGCAAGTACTGTATCCGAGAAGATACATTAGAATTTTGCGGCCTGAAAACACATAGCATGCATAAGTAGAGAGTACCATAAAAATTACAATTCCTCAGATCAAGAACATAGGTCCACAACCGCTGTCGCGATGCAAAGGAATGTGTCAAAAGTGCTTTCTTTCTATACATTCTAAGTTCCAGCTCGCAACGGGATCAGCCTTGAATGGAAGTGCAGTAAAGCACACAACTTTTTTGTACAGTTCAATGTCGAGTCTCATACACACGCCACAGTTAAAACACAAATGTAAAGATCATCGGAAATGTCCAACCAGGTTTGAAGTTATGATACCCTATTTAATGATTATACTGGGGAATCTTTTGGAGGACCGGCTACGGAAAGTCTATGTAGGATGGCCTGGGAGTAGAGAGTTGGCTTGAATTGGAGAAGGTACCGGAGTGTAAACCACGGTCATGACTGGTTAGCAGACTCGGTGCAGAGGTCAGACTCCAGGCACCGTATACTGTATTATAAAATTTCCTCTTGTTGCAGGTCCGGTCAGAGCTGCAATGTGTTTGTCCGGTCAGGCGGGAGGAAAGGACCAGGTGAAGCAAGGGTACGGCGCCACATATGCGAGAGATTTTTACGAGCTGCCCGTTGCGGAGACTAGGTTGAACATCACATTCCATGAATATTTCCGTTGACGGCTGGCATTTCAATGCCAAACGGCTACTTTTCATGGGCAGTGGGAACAGGGAACGAACTGCCCGGTTGTTCTTAAAGGCAACGGCGTTTCGTACGATAACAGATTCTGTCAGACCAAACGGGAAAGAAGGATCTTTTTGTGTATGTGGATTGGCGGTACAGGGCAGGAGCCTCGTCGTGCTTATTGCGGCATGATGATCGACTCACGTTTCCGACTGCCCTCCCTCCGCCGGAAAGAGGAATTGCGCTTTGCTGCAAGGCAAGGCCGGTCAAGGCTGGAATGTGCCGTGGCTTGGAATGGACACGGAGGAGGAGGAGGAGCCTGGCCGGGCCCGCGATGACGATGATGAGTATACTGATGGATGGATGGTGGAGAGCAGCAGCGGAAGGAGGAGGAAGAGGGTGGATGTACGGGGATGGACGGATGGAGCGATCCCGGGTGCGGGTGCAGGTTCGCGGGCTTCATGGGGCGATCGCGGCCGCGAGTCAAGACGTGCGAAGAGCTTCGGGCCAGAGGAGCAGGCCCGGACCCGAAACTGCGTTTCCCCGCTCGAAATCTGATCTGCTGACGGTGCTGCTGCAGCGCTGCCTCGCCTGCCTGTCTGTCTGTCCGCCTTCTGTGAGGCGACTCCGGGAGAGGGAGCGAGGCGATGTGGATGTGAACATGGCTGCCGGAGATCGAAGGAGTTTGTGTGAGCAGCAGCAGGAGGAGGAGGGAGGAGGAGACAGCAGCACTGTTGCTTCTCTCGCTGCTGGATTGCGTGTGGTTGTCATCATATGAGTCTGGAGTTTGGTTGGACGTTGCGGCTGGGTTGGAGTGGGGGTGGGCTTCTGATGAGGGAATGAAAAGCTGAGAGCCGAAGTCCGTAGCTTGGCGCTGCTCTGAGAAGAGGAACCCACCGGAAGAGGAACAGAGAGCAGATGAGGCTTACCGAGTAAGCGTAAGTAAAGCCGAAGATGCATGCTTGCGATCTCCGGAGTCCGACGCTGCCAGCGATCCATACTTTTCTCCCGTCCGGAGAACAGGTGTCGAGCCAATAGAGTATAGATAAAAGAGAGCGGAGGCCTACGGATTGGTGGCCTGCTATTTTGTTTTTCTTTGCCCTTTGTCTTGTCTTCGTTTTTGCACATAAGCCTAGAGGGCTTGTTCGCGTATCCGCTTCCCAGTACCTTGCGAGTTCATAGTTTTCTTTTCTTCTCGGGGTATCGATTTACAACAAACATGCCAGTGCATGTCTGTTGGACAGAGAGACATTGAGTGAGAGAGATAGCGAGAGTCGAGAAGTCGGCGTCTTCTGCTTCCTCTTCTTCGGGACCGTTGTATCGTTCGTTACTAAGGAACTCATCATAAGAGCATACACGATCTACTCGACCGGGGTTGCATATCTAGAGAGAGAGAGAGAGAGAGAGAGAGAGAGAGGGCTCTGTGCCTGGTCTTATTAGATGAGGAGAAGTGCAGCCTTACTCGTGGTAGCGAAGCGAAGTTCCAAACCGAAGGAATTGACCAACATGATGAGTCTTGCGCCACACTCCACCCTCGTGTTCCGCTCTGGTGCTTGAGCGAACTCGGGCAGGAGCCGATCATAGAGAAGATCTCAGGACAGTGGGGGAATTGCTGCCCCTATTCCACAACTTCGAACGCAGCAAATTGAATTTCGTTCTCATTGTTCTATACGAGGAAATTGTGCCATCTCTGGACTTTTGATGGACAGAGCACGGAGTTTGACGGATGTTGCAGTAGATACTGCACCACTGCTGAGCAACGGGAGTCCGAGTAGCAGCGATGATGGAAGAGGAGGAAACGGAAATCGGCGAGGAACAAGAGTGCAGGGTGCAGCAAGATATTTGCGCCGAGCCAGCAGCAGTAGGTTAATGAGGGAACCATCGATGCTTGTGAGAGAATCGGCGGCTGAACAGTTAGAGGAGCGGCAGAGCGACTGGGCCTATTCAAGGCCCGTTGTAGTGTTGGATCTAATATGGAACTTAGCATTTGTTGTGGTCGCCTTCGTGGTTTTGATACTGAGTAAGGAAGAACATCCGCGTACACTGTTACGGCTTTGGGTTCTAGGTTATGCGTTGCAGTGCATTCTGCACATGCTTTGCGTGTGCTGTGAATACCGTCGACGATGCCATCAGAGGAGAAGCGGTGCTCATTCCGCCTCCACGTCTTCTCATCCTTCATCTGCCATCACGAACGAACCAGAGGCTGATGCTGGCTCAGAGTCGGATGAAGAAGAAGGTGGTGCCGAGCACGCGAGGTACTGATCCGATTCATTCTCAAGGCTTACTTGTAATCGTTTTATGCTCCTTGGATCCTGAGTATGACACCAATAAGGGGAAGACTCGCTCTACTGTCGGAATCTTCGAATGATTTTTCATTCCCTGGTCTATGTAATCCCTCTATGTGGCTCTGCAATCATCGCTGCTTTCTGCCCTCTTCAGAGTGACTTTTCCCTACCGGAATTGTTGTTGTTGATTGTCGTCATCCTGTTGAATTTGCTTTATAATGCCGTATGTAACGTCATACCGCCGAAGCCATGCACTTGGACTGCCATGGGTTACCTCCCCTGTTCAAATTTATCTTGTTCGGGAACCTCTACGTCAAGAACTATATTCGCGTGCCCACATGTGTGCCGTTTCTTTGAGTAGATCTAGAGTCGCAGTTTGGATTTCTTCACGTCACAAAACTAGTCTGGATACCGATTGCCAACAATTGTCGAGTCTTCGCGCTCATCAGAAAGTAACCTCCTCTTGGCGATTGATTTTTTTCTAAAAGTAGTTCAATCGAGTTTCAAGCTCCTATTGGTCAACGTGAGCTGTCTGAATTGAGTTGATAGAGTATACAGTATGGAGATCCTTCCTATCCGGTTCTTTTGGTTCCGAAGCTTTTTAGATGCTACTGTCGAATTGGAACGAAGGTTACACTGTCGGGGTGGGACGCTCCACGGGAGTTTTATCGCTCTGAGAATCTCTTTCCTTTTCTTGATTCTTTTGTTCTCTGGGCTGAAAGAAGTAGAATGCACAGGAACTAGAACGCTTATTCCTTGAACTCAATCGTGGGTTTATATACATTCATTTTCTCTCCAGGCATAATGGCCGTATGGGGTTTCAATTGGAAATTCTGGTCTTCCTTCTCACACTACTTTTGATTGGAATAGTACAATGACGATGGCCTTATGGTCCATGATCTGCTTTGCGTGTAAACCCTCCATTAGTGCCCGTTCTTAATTCAGTGCCCGTGCTTGAATTTTAATGTTGTTTCGCAGGATAATGTTCACGCCTTTGGGTCATGTCTTTCTACGTACTTTTTTGCACTGATTCGGTGGAAGTCTACTGCTTTACTAGCTGTGAGGAAGCTTCGAAAGTAATGATTGTTGCTTTGACATCTAGTGAGTGGGATCTTGTGTAACTTCTTGCTGGAATCCTTGGAGGGAGAAGGTCGCGATCTCTTTGAGGTCTTTTTTATCCTTTTGTTTCTGTATGGGCTTGTTGAACCACTGTGACTGAAGACAGTAATCATGTAGGTGGCTTGCAGTATAGTTCCACGATAGAAAGTCTTCTCGACTACGAAGTTGTCCCATAATTTTCATCTAGAGTACGGCGGTCAAATAACAAGTCGTTTATTGTGTGTTATTCTTTGGAAATATATTAGTTAACGTCAATTATGAACACTTGCGAGATTCCTCTGTTGAGAATTCTCTACTTGAGTACTTCCTACCTGATATCGAGTTTCCTCGTATTTTCAGCATGGCCAAACGGTTGGAATCCTTAAACACGATGTTCTCTTTCGTATGGTGGATTATCGGATTTTACTGGATCACCGCTGGTGGTCAAGCTCTTACACACGATGCCCCTCGTCTTTATTGGTAAGTTCCTGGTTTTCTCTTTCTTACTGCCACTCTGCCATTACTCAATGCATGCATCAGCGGTCAAGCTCCGTTAAGCTTTTCCAAATTGCAACTAGGATATTCAAGCATTAGTTGGAGCTTACTGGTTTTCAAAGCCATGGGAATCAGAACTTGACTAAACACTAACAAACTATTGGAATCCTTCTTGGTGGCAGGCTCTGCGTTGTATTTTTGGCATTCGATGTATTCTTCGTGGTCTTCTGTGTGGCTTTAGCCTGTGTAATTGGCATAGCCGTCTGCTGTTGCCTACCATGCATAATTGCCATCTTGTACGCCGTTGCAGATCAGGTCAGTAATATTCATCACTTTTTCATCTTCAGTGACGCGCATCAGCAATGCCTTTTTGTCTTGATGCTTCAGATAATTGTCGATAGCATGTGACGTGAGAGTCATCCCCTCTGCTTACTCACCCGCTTATTTCATCTCTGACGTGTGGCGCTTCCACTGTTGAAGTAGTGCTTATGTTTTCGAATGATTCTTGTATAAATTTTAGGAGGGTGCAACTGAAGAAGATATCAATTCTCTTCCAAAGTATAAATTTCGGCGGACAGGACATGACAAATCCAATGGGGACAAGTCCCAAGGAGGTATTATGAGTTTGGTTGGACCCGCTTCGGAAGATACGACTGAACGGGCTTTATCTCCAGAAGACGCGGTAAGTTTACCATACAGGCTGCTTGATTTGTTTTCTCACACGAGATTTGTACATACTAATTTTGTTATCACCTAGATTATCAACGTGTCCTCCTTGTTTGCTGTGTTGACTTTGCTGATGTATTTCTGGGTTGTTTTTCAGGAGTGCTGTATTTGCCTCTCAGCCTACGATGATGGTGTAGAACTGCGGTTGCTCCCATGTACACATCACTTTCATTGTGTTTGCATCGACAAGTGGCTAAGAATCAATGCCACTTGTCCATTGTGCAAATTTAATATCATACACGGGAACAACAACAATTCCACTGGAGCTGCTAATGGAGCGAGGAGGGAAGAGGTTTGATTGACTCCGATCGTTTTAGCCGTATTATCTCTACATACACAAGAGGCGTCTGTGGTGCGGATGCCCGGTGGCCGTGCATAGGAGAAAACCGTCTTTGTTCTTCTGCAGAAGGTGAAAGCTCTAGGCTCTAGAGCTGTCTGCAATTGCAGCTCATCTGTCCAAATTCAAGCTCGGAAGTCGCTCATCAATCGTTAATGATGGCAACAACCCCTACGGGATGAGACAGGATGTAATTAGCTGTTAGCATAGGTTCCTTCCTCATAGAATGGTATGGGCAATTTTTTGTATTTTGTAAACTTTTTCCCATTTAGGCTGTAATTTATATTCCGAACAGATTCAAAGCTGTGTTGAGTACCTATTTCCTTCGAATTTCCTCATTATTGTACCGGTATTGTGACCTTTATGATAGCCTCGGGATTGTCTCCCCAACCTGCTGGCCGTAGCCATTTCTTAAGCGCTAAAGCTTGCCGGCCTTCTCTTTATGCTGGAGGTGCTACTGATTGGGTGCCGTGAATCAATAACTACTCTTTCGGTAGTGCGTTGAGAATGTTGTTTGTTTGAGGATAATAGACATTAGAAAGTCTGACACACGTAGAATTTGATCGGGATTTGTGATAGGACAAGTCCGCTACTCTTTTAGCCGGTTGATGTAGGTGGGCCTCTCCCATTCAATACCAAGGTAGGTTTCTGCCTCAGTTACTTAGTATTATGTTTTGTTGTGATCACCAATTAACACTGGAAAAGTGCCTTTTGTTACGGGGAAACACAACCAATTGTGTTTGTATATGATAATAGTGTGGATGGTTCTCGTGTAGCGAGGATGGCTTTTCTGGCTAGCCGCCCTTCATATGCTTTGTCAATACGAGTTTTCACAACAGCAGCAGTTTTGGTTTACAAGTCACAGGGCGTGCTTGTATATGTTTTTTAGATTTAATCACGTCCATATATTTGAAGTATGTATTTTTCTTGGCATCATAGGCTTATTTTGCTTGGTATACACACGGCTCCTGTAACAAATCCTACTTTGGTTTACTTGAACCTCACAAGTACCACAAAGCCCGTTTGAGGATCTTTTGACTACACTATATTTTGTGAGATCATTGTTAGCTTGAGATAGTTTCCCTGATGTTTTGCCTCTTGCTGAGCTATTTAGTTTCGTGAAAACTTCAGCTTTCTGAACACAGTTTAACCAGGTGGTTATGGGCTAGCTTTCACTTTATTTGATGAGAGATTCAAATAAACGTCACTGTGAAGTGAGGTGACTGTTAGAGCTAATTTGATAGGAAGCAATGAGTCGACGATTTGTTTGCCGGGGAGTGGAAGTTGACGCATCGATGAGATCACGTTTCACCGGAGATAGTTTTCTGGGGAAGAACGCATGGAACGAAAGGAGCGATGGAAGAATCATAGACAGAAGAGGCCAATGAAGGGGAAGTAAACTCGGCCCTTTGGCCTTTGGGTGAAAGAGAATAGAGAAAAGTTATGGTGGTGGTGACGTCAAAGAGCTGTGTCTCAAGTTTACAATAGTTTAAATAACAGGTGCAATATTTCCGCTGACAAGTCGTTTAAAGAGAAGGGATCTATTCGTACTCCAAGAGCTTAACCGTATCTCTGAAGCAATCAGCGTCATAGTAGCCGTTGAAGGTGAGTTTACTAACATTGTATATCCTTCATGGTACAAATATTCAACCGGAAGAAGGACAATTGTACCTGTATGAACCGGGGATGGAGGAAATTACTTGATGGACCCCTTGGAAACTCAATCTTCTCGAAGTGAACCATTAGGTTTCAATTTACCCGACGGGAGCCGTATCCCATGTTCTTACTACCTACTGTGCTGCTTTATAGAGTGGGGAGTGTCCGCCACTGTCGGGCCAGAGTATTTTGGCGGCTAGTTCGCAGCCATGTCTAAGGAACGGTGGCCACTAGGCCACCGGAACCTTATGAGTCTAAATGACTCCGGATATGTTCTTGCAGTGACTTCATGTTCTACTCGAAATAACCCAAGATAGTATTGGAACATCACCAAATGCGGGGAAGTGAAATGTGTCGGGTCCCATCAAGTAATTTCCTCCCGGGGATCAGAACATGTAGACACCATGATTAACCAAACCGGATTGTGGGCGGTAATTTTTTTACATTGTATTTAGCCCAAGTCCAGTGAAAGAATATTTGAGAAAATTTTGCAATCAATGAACTTATTTTAAAATATGTCTTTAGCAAAATTCGTTCCTTTGGGTTCAAATAGTTTAAAACTATTTAAGCCCAAAGGTAAACATAAAAGTAAACATTTCTGTTCATAATTTGTAAATGAAAGTATCCAATATTGAAAACAATCTAGCACACACTATTTTTACCACATGTTATTTCACCACGTAGATGAGAGGAGGGTAAAGAACCGTTTATTTTCATTGTTTAGTAGTGTAGACAATAACTTTCAGAGACATTATGATTGCAATGATGTGAGTATGTTTATTATCTGCACGGGAGATTTTTGAAAACTTTTTGGTTGATGAAAATGGATCTTTATTCTAAAGAAAGTTAAGTAAGAATGATAAAATATGATTTCCATTGGCTTGCTTGACAAGAATATTGACGAGGTACTCTACGTCATCTTCGTTTTTAGGTTTTAATATGAATGTAATTATCAACATTTTATATTTTTAGACATATACAAAAAGTATATTTTTTGTCATAACATTGATATTATGTAGACACATAAAAGCACATTTTGATATATGTTTGAAAAACATGTCCAGTGAAATATTTCATTCTACCCAATGTTTTTATTGTTTTAACATATCTATGTTTGATTATAAACTAATTTCATATAATGTATATGTATGGTTAAGATTTTATCTCACGAAGACAGAAACAACACTAAAGAATCAAGTAGTGTCATGAATTAACATTCTATTGAGAAGTTTTACGACTTAGTCATATGTCATTCCCAAAAGAGACTGCAATTGCTAAGGTCAAAGGCGACACATTGCAGGGTGAAATCACACTCAAATCCTAAAATTCATCTAATAAGTCTCTAGAGAAGCTGCACGCGACTCTGCAATTGATATTCACGGGAAAAATTTCTCAAGCTTACCCACTCTATTCGCTACACCGAGCTTCAAATGTACAGATTTGCTTAAATCTTGAACTACACTATGCATCACTTAGAACGTTCAAATTGGACTCTCTACTTCAGATGCGGTATCTTCGAAAAACTGTAGCAACTCGCTCACAGTGACAAAACGCACAATTTACAAACGCGTGGAGGAATGCAGACTGAAAACTGAGAAATTAACTAATGAAAAAGTCCTCCAAAGGGAGAGCCTTGGTCTTACTTATTCACAACTAACACCCGGAGTCATCACCCGCCAATTGCGAGCTCCCATCATGTGCGACGTCAGCTGAGGCGGCAGTTGCCACCTCAGCTGAGCTCATATCTACTCCGATCCTACTCAAAACGGCTGACCGTTCCAATTCAAGGTTCTCCTTCGTCTACTCCAAACCAGAGATGAACGAATTGAGCTCCCTACCTAACTGCCGATGTCATGCGACTACGCTGGCTCCCAATTCCTTCACTCGACGCTTCAGCTCCACCACGCGCTTGAATTTACTCTCAAATCCCTTCTAAGACAATTCCCATTTGTCTCAAGGTACTTACTTTTACTTCTTCACAATGCAAATCTCAATCCGAAGGCCCTTCTTCTTCAAAGCCGAGGGTGTCTAAGGCCGAAGTCTGAAGTCCAAAGGTGTCTAAGAACGAAGGCCATTCTTTGCCGAAGTCCGAAGTCCAAAGTCTCTTCTCCCAAGTCTGAAGGCTCTTCGGCCAAAGTCCCTTCTGCGCCTTCGCCTATCTATACCAGTCACTTCGAACATTTATAACTCAATGACCCCTTATCCGTTTCAAGAATTCTTGGGCTCATTAGAACAAACGTGCCGAGCTTTATCTATCGAAACACTTTTTAAGTCAATTCGTTATTAATTGAAAAAGTTATAAGGTATTTACTATATCAGATCATAACTCATCTAATTCAACTTTATTTCCTATAAGTAAAAACACTAACTTCAAAGAGAGTGAGCCAAATGGTTTCCACTACTCCTAACTTGACCTCTTTCACAGAATCCACTATTTAGTCTATTTCAAACTGTTATTATTTTAAAAGTTTAAAATTCCTAGTCTTCTACTTATCAAGTTTATTTTCTTTGAAAATAAAAATAAAAATAACGTTTCCACAATATGATCTTTTGTAAAGAGCATTATGCAATACACAAACTAATGATATGCTAATATATTTATAGTTTGATCTATATAATTAAAATGAATTATCATTTTTCTGTCATTATTATCATATTGGATCACTATTACATACATTTGAAATCATACTTGTTTGATTTGATGAAAGTGTTTTTGTACTTTTGCTATGATAGCTTTCTTAGATTGTGATAAAATGAAGATGTTTAATACTAGGTTTGATTCACCTAAGTACAAATCTAATGTTTTTCCTTGAATTCAAAGTCATAAAATAATAGTCTAATGTTATGATCTGATTTTGTTATCAATATGAAAATGTTATATGATTCTACTTTCTCATATAATAATCCAAATTCAATATAATCTTACAAATTTTTGTTAAATCATAATATGTGAATAATTTATATCATCATCATCATTATAAATTTTAAATAAATTAAAATTATTTGGATTAATTAGACCTTTTCTAGATGTGCTATTTTATACTTTGATACTCCTTGGTATCATTTTTTTAACAAAAAAATTGTGTTTTATTGTAACCTATTTTGAAAAATATAAATATAATGTATATAGAATAAAATCTGAAAAAGCTTGAAAAAAAAAGCTTATTTACAAGTTTAGAAACAACCTACAATTTTTTCTTTCAAGCTTGCTCTTCACGTCCAAGGTCCTCGGTCATAGTTTGATGACAGGCACTACATTGCACAAACATGAATTTTTTGTCACAAAGATCTTTCTTCATTAACATGTCCAAAGTAAATTACATCAGCGGATCATTGATGAGGTTATCATGCTCATAATTGTAATTGTAACTTGTTAGTGGTGATACTCTGTACAAGGCTGTAAGATCAAGCTTACGAATGGCTTGTGAGCGTGTTTGAAATCAAAGACACCGATTGAGAAGACGAATACGAAGCCAGAAAGTTGCGTGACAGCTACAAGTTGGTTACAGTCTAGGCGGGAGAGAGCTGAGTTTTGCTAATTGCGCAAGAATAGCTGCGTCTGAAACCATGCTTGCTGAAGCTGTGCAGACAACGTAGTATCGGTCGTCATGTTTCTACTTCGATCCTACTGATTTCCATCCCCGACTCCTTATCATTACCTGTCCAAGATCTCTTCTTACAACTCATCCCCATGGTCGCCATGTTTGATTCTTGTAAAATCTGAATTGATTGATCAACCCACCGCCGAGAACTTCGTCTCGTCGAGTCTTCAACGTTTCAACTACTTCAGCTCCTCAAATTCTCTCTAAGACACAATCAATCAAATATCAACTGCCTCAACCGTTTACTCCGGTGGTCCAATCTTGTACACAAAACAGATTATGGATAAGCAAGAGAATCACAATTCTTTCTGATTTTCACCAATCGATCTCATCCGGTCCGTTCCTCCTATGCGCAGCCCAAATCTTCTGCCCAATTTGCAAATGAGAACCACCACAACATTCTTACTTTTAGCACTTAAACTATCGATTATAGGTTTCGCTGTAGTACCAATTGTTACAGGAAACATGAGAATCTACATATCCACAAACTAAAAAATTGACGATAAAGAAATATGTGATTCACCACTCTCGAGCTTCGTCAAAAACAAAGTTTTTACCAAAAAATCTACAATTGTTCGAGGAGAACTGTGTCTTGCTCCCTTTTATATATATATATATATATATATATATTGACAGTCGAAATTCTAATTCTAACTAGATAAGACTAATTTTAAATCTAACTTGAATTATACTCAAGCCTTGTGTTACTACTAACAAGAATTTCATCTATTGAGAATAAAAATGAGATAAGATTTTGATGATATTTAATTATTATGAAAATAATTATATGTATTTATGAAATATATTTTTTTATTGAATTTTTACAAATGATGGACATACACATCCTGATAGTGTTGATTTTTGAATGAAGAATTTTGGATATAAATCATCTAGATCCTTAGGAGTGAAATGTACATACTGTAGTGCTTGCTCCAGAAGCATTATTTTTTATAACTTATAGAAATTTAGATGCTATTATTTATGACACTCTATATGATTACGTTCATGTTTAAGCATATTGATATTATGTTATATCCTTTATTAGTTATGAATTTGATAATTGTTGGAGTTTGGATTTTGCATAACTGGATCATATACTATAGTACATAAACATGGGTGTTAATCATGATGTAACATTTCATCTAAGTGAAATAAGTTGGATGGAATTGTCTAGCAAGACTAAGATAGCTAGCCACTTATGTGTGATTAGCTTCCGAGCTTAGCTGATTTGATGAAACATAAGAAATGTTGACTAATAACAGTAATGAATTTTTTGGACAATTTCAAGCTTCTTGTGATCTAGCATTGAAAACTCATCAAATGACCTCAAGACTCAAGACGATGTCTTAAGTTAATGATCCAACAAGTTGAGTTGTTCAAATGGTGAAGTGAGAACTAACAAATTTTGGTTTCAAAAAAATTATCATAGTTGTTCTTGATAATCGATATAGCCACCAAACATCTCCAGCAATATATTCATTGTTGTTTTTATTATATGATAGAGTTCAGACATATGTGTAGTTATTTTGTCTAGAGTCAACTGAAGTCTTGGATTTAGATACTCTTGATGATTGATTAGGGTATAAGTGAAATTTGACATATGTTGCAATCTTGAATGATTATGTAACTTGACTTGATAATTTCCCGCATAAAAAAATGTATGAAGTCATATACTATGTTTAAAAGATGTTATTATTTAAAATCTCAGTTCGTTATGTCTGACAATTTGTACAAGACATTAGAAACTTCATATATGGAGCTACAATAGTTGTAAGATGAAGGCTTACAAAAGGCTGAAAGCATGTCTTTTGATCCATGAGTAGAGACCAAGAGGTCTATCCATACTTACGCAATGTTGTCAACTTTGAATATCATGTCTATTGTTTTGATTTTACAGGAGGATAAATATGTGTCGTTCTTATTCAAATCATGAACTTAGATTTAGTATACTATACAATATGACGTAATAATTTGTCAATGCTTTTACGTGGAGTGTAAAGTATTCCGAAGTGCAATCCGGGATGTCATGTGACAAAGTTCTCCAATTGTTGATGATTGAAAGATATCAACAATATGCTTGACACTGGTTTTTATGTTGCATTGATGCAAGATTCTACTCATTTGGCATCCTTAAAGGTGACACCCTTGCATATGTAACATTATGCGTACAAGATTGTACGCATACATGTGTTAAGATCCTCCCTAATACATACGTGTGTTTCATTAGCTTCTATTCTAGAAGATGAATTGACGATCCTCATGCACCTGTCATAACAAATGTATACTAAACATAATCATGAATTACACAGTTTCGAAACCATGACAAGACGTTTTCACAAGCAGTTTAGGCCTCCTGCACAGTTTTCATCATAATCATGAATTACACAGTATCGAAACCACGACAAGACGTTTTCACAAGCGGTTTAGGCCTCCTGCACAGTTTTCATCATTCCAATGCTGTTGATCTATGCTGTTGACCTCTGTTGATGCTGAGCTGCTAACTAAATGATCGGAATTGACCCGAAGGCCCTCGAGCCACTTCCGAGTCAATACAGCTTGGAATTTATGATATTTGCTAATATGTAAAAACATCTGATTGACGAAAATTCCGCTAAGAATCCCGAGAGACACCGTGCCCATTCGCTCAATTTTTATCAACATATGGTCGATCCATTTCTAACCGTTCTACTGTACGATACTATTTTCTTCACATTAGTAGCGTATAGGCAGGGCCGTCTACGATCTTCGGGCACATTCTGAACTCCATCAGCCTTAATAAGAAATGTCACACCGTTCAATATCGGATTACTGTGACTTCTGATGTGCGACGAGCAACACGAATTGATAGTTTCTTGCTCAACTTCCGTGAATGGTCGTATAGTCATCTGATGGCATCAGCTTCTGTGACAGCATACAAGGCATTCCAGAAGTATCCATTGAGGCTTGCAAATTTCAAGGATGGTGAAAATGAGTGAAGCTTCCTGACAGCTAGTATATTCACAATTCAACACCATGTAATTCCCTTGCTCGAGGTTCTAAGCGCTCCCTCGATACATTTGAATAAAACTTGATAGGAGTTTTAGCCAGTGTAGACATATTATTTGACCGTAGATCTTTGAGCAGGCTCGTTCCTTCTTCTAAGTCCATCAGACATGCCCACTGATTTTTCAAAATTTGACATCTCAGTAGGGTTTCTCTGCGGTGTCGCCTGTAGCTCATCTTTCTTGTCGACGCCGACTTCTGCTACTTCACTTGAGGCTGTAGCAGGACTTGCCTGCATGGATTCACCAAAATCAATCACTTCAGCTTTATAATAAGGCAACTGAACTCCGCAGGTACTGATACAGTAAGAAGTGATCTAGAAATTTCCAAGTGAATATTGATGATGTAGATTACCTTGTATCTGGTACTCAGAACCCAGGTAGTTGTATAGAAGAGAGCAATAAACAGAAGAAGTGGAATGAATTTGGGGTCCTCTCTGAAATCTTGTACTAAGTAAACGAAATTCCTGCCCTTCTCAAAAAGTTTCTCCTTCTTATCTGAAACGAAGTCTTGAGTTTTTGCAGCGAAGGGAACGCTTTCCTCGGCAATCAGCTCTGGAGCTTTTCCCCTCTGCAAAAAAGCTTATGTTTCAGACACTCCTGCTTATGAACGGTGATGGGTAAGAACAATCTCATGGCAATAACACATTTAAGGAAAACTTACAAAGCTGGGCAGCTCTTCTGTGTCCCCCTGATACACCATATTAGATATCCAAGATATAATCTGCAGGCAAAAGATTGAGCATGATTTAGTTCAAGCACTGAGAATAATAACCAGACATGTTTGGTGCTAAAGAGTTGCGATCATTTCAATAAGATAGGTTAGATTTACCACCTCGGCTACTTCAGACGAACCATTGTATTTTGTCACCAACTGACGTGCAAATTTCATTTCCTCTTCGGACTGTCTCTGCCAAGTCGTTTTCGGCAACCATTTCTTATGTTCATCCTCTCCCTTTTCTTCCGTCACTTCTCTGAGGTAGCGAATCAGAAATACTCTCGGACGGTTTTCTATCTCATAGTTTTGTGGACCACAAGCTTCGAACATACTTTCTGAATTCAAGTAGAAATAACAAAAGTTCTGCATTCAAAACCAAAGAATCAAAGAAAGTGATGGGCATGATAATACTATTCTCGTTACTAATATCCTGGTATACAAATCTGAAGACTATAGATCCCGCACATGGTGAGAAATGCTCAGAAGAACAGACAGGGAAGGAGAAACTAATGGATGAAGGAGGACTAAATGAGAGTGTAAAGAGCAGGACTAATAGTTCGAATTTCCTTCTGTATACGGAGACCCTCTGTCTAGTGTATTTCATATACGAACAGCAATATCACCAAATTGTGCACGGCAACTGCCGATGCGAAGTCATCGGGAAAGGTAAGTACATGACCCAGCATGATAACTTTCCTAGTCTCCTCCGATGGTTTGCAAAAACTAAGTAGTGCAAGAAAGAAACAAAATTAACATACTTTCTGTATTTCACCATCAAGCCATGCTAGACGAAGTCGATTCTCTTGATAAGCCTTAATCGCGATTTTAGACGTTGACTCTCTGTCTTCACCAAGTTTGAGTTGCTCTTGAACGCCCCTGAGCGCCTGCTGATAACAAAAATAAGCAACTCTGCATGACCTGCCTGACAAACTAAGAGCACGAATAAGTGTTACAATGGCACACTATTCATTCCAACACGAAACCCCCTACCTAATGCTTCGTATTCGATTAAGTGTATAAAAGAGATAGATAGGCAAGCTCTTACACTCCTCATTTGATCGAGTTTCGAGCTTTGTTTTCCAGCAACAATGACGCAGTACCAGATTCTGGTTTCATTTCCTGCCAGTGAGTAACTTGACGCATCACAACCCAAGCTTCTCGCTGTGATGCTCCTCAATTGTGGAAGCTCTGCATGATGTCAGAGAGACCTCAAAATTATTAGTTCCAGTAAGACATGGCACCAAACTTACAGTACCCTGGCAAGAGTCCTTCTACAAAGTAGTCACTGCAGAAGCACTGACTTCAGAAACAGCCGTTACCGTTCCTCAAAGCTGAAAGACAACTACCGGCATTGACTTCTTTTGTCACTATTCTTCTGGAAAAAAATTTACACCAAAGTGTGAATAATGTGCATATTGTTGTTGGGCATATCCTCAAAGAAAATGTGATTAAAAACAACAACCGCTTCCCTGTATCAAGTATTCAAGGAGCAGCGACGCATTGCAACAAATGTTTCATGAGAAATAGTTGAGAGGCAGACTTCATAACATACTCTGCTGTCAACTTTAGAAATCTAATCCACCCACTCACCATATGTCTTGTGCATTTCCATTAATTCCAAAAATTTTGAAGAGTTCAACTTCCCTGCATAAATCCGACAAGCAGGATTAAGTATCTTGATCTTACCAAACTATACCTAATCCAGAAATCAGAAGATTCGAGTATTATGTATCTTGATCGTAATTCAGATACACCAAGCCAGAAAAGAAGGGCACATCTCCAAGAGCACACGAGAAAAAAAGAAACATGAAGTTTATATATAACAGTTCGTGAAATACGAATACCTTATGATGAGCATTGTAATCAGAAAAAGGAAAACATCTAACTTGACCACCACTGAAGAAGACTGTTCTTCCTTGTAACCCCAAATCCATGGAAGGTTAGTGGTAAACTACCATGATGAACGACAGGCTTTAGATCTGGGTCTTTTATAAATACAAGAGCCGGTGCTGTCTCCACTCCAATCCTGTCAGCAACTTTATTATCAGATTCAAGAAAAAAATATGGCTATACGATCAATTATCAACCATAATAGGTCTTAATTCTAAACAGTTGTTTGTCCTCATACCTACGAAAGAATGACTCACCCAAAACCAGATCTTGCCCGAATGAACTCAAGAGTAAGCACATCCTCTTGCAGTACAATACAAGCAGCAGAGATATCCATTGATACTACTTCAAAGAAGAACTTCTATTTCAAAGCGAACCATGAGAAAGCGAATGTACTCACTCTTTTCTCCAAAAATCGCCTTCACTCTCTCGCCAGAGGACCATTGCAAACACCGCATACTCCCGATAAACTTTAGCTGCCTGCCTCATATACGGTGCGGCACGCTCTCCTGAATATGAAAATGCGATCACTTTGACCTGATTCGTGTGTCAAGACTTGTCAAATCAGACTCAAATTTGTTGACGTGCCTCACGAGACGAAACATGGACCAACTTGCACACAAGCTTAAGCTAGAGATACTCCGAAGACTGGGCAAAGATAATAACCTTATGGGGTCCAGGTTTCTGAATGATGTCAGCCATCTGGAAGAGAACAAGACAACTGACCACAATATCAGCATAAGTAAATGAGTCCGACAAGTGCAATGTAATAATATACATCTCTATTAAGAGAATCAAAACAGAAGACCTGAGTCAAGTAATAACGGAATATACAGGAGAATATCTTAGCTTAGAGAGGTCAAGTTGATGTGACAGGCACTTTTTAATAGTTGTACTTAAATGCTTGAGTTCGAGTTACCAAAGTCTTGACACTGTAGTACATGATCCGAGGGAGCTTCAGTAGTCGCGTACCAACCCAGTCTGTAATTGCATCCGCTGTCTTTTCTCCATAATATCTAGAAAAACAGACTTGGTCAATTGAGTTGCCAGTTTCACTTCTGTACAAATGTGATATGTGAGTCCCAGGAACTTATCTGACAAGTGAAACGGGATTCATATTTTCTGTCTCTGCCCACATTTTCGAAAGTAAAAAGGACGTCGTAATATGCATGACTGCGTCTACACGACTGCCTCTTGAAACAGAAAAGGGGATGATATAAGCCGCAGAGTAACCAAAGGTTTCAACCTGTTGAGACACTCCAACTTTTGGCATGATGGCATGACAGCAACAATTGCGGGCAGACCTGCAAATCAGTTAACAATCAGTGAAATGTGAATAACGAATCCAAATTGCTAAAGCTTTGCGGAATAGTCTTGAATCATCAGATATAACCAAATGCAGACCGTACAAATCAATTCCTCTTCTTACCGTTTCTAAAGAAAGGATACCCGTTGAGCCAGTTTCTTTCTGCAAGAATTAGTGCCAAGGGTAGTTCGCCAAGCTCCAGCCTTCCGACCCTTACCACACCCTCCAAAGATTCTTCTGTTACAATTAAGGATAATTCATTAAGATCATGGCAGAATGCTTTACCATCGACTTGCAAATTACGTCGTGAACAATACTACATACATTTAGAGCTGCATACTTAAGCGGAGTTCCTATTTCTGCGATCAAAACAACATTACTTGTAGTTATAATGACAACTTCTAGTTATAGTAGATATTGAAGAAACCATATATTTAGTACGATCAAACTGAAACATCCACATCCGGAAGCCTGAAGAATACCCTTCAATTATGGTAGCAGACTCTTCACGAAGAACTTGCATTGCAAAGATTCTAACGAGGGCTACAACTACATGTTTCAGAACCCGCTTTGCCAAAAATAGGTTTTGACTTCTAAAAGGCTTCACTATGGTTCACAGATATCTACGTTAATTAACGAGCATAGCAACAGCGTGCGCAGATTGAAGTCACTTTCAGTTAACACAGAGGTCTTACCTATCTTATCCCATATTGACGCAAATCGCTTGGAATTAGGGTTGACGTCTGAATAGATCTGTGATTTGAATACACTTGATTAGTGCTGATATGTCATGTCTTCGAAGAAAATGTACACGATGATGTGCTACTTTAGTTCTGGGAAATTGAATCATACTTGATACAGACCTGAGAAAAATAGAATAATAAGGAAATGTCACAGGAGACCTTGATAGACTCTAGCCAACGAAATCTGCTAATTGCTAAAGTATACATCTGAGTAGTGTTTGATCAAAGTAGTACTTGTATTAACCACGGCTGTGAGCTCATCATCACCAGGTCCCCAAAATTGGAATACGTCAAGCTTTCTGCCGTTGCTACTATCTTGTCTCCTGTGCCAAACGAGATGAATATTTGCATCTTTAATCAAACAATCAAGAATCTGAGTATATTTGTGACTTCATTTATCTCCACATAGAAAGAAGTTGCTTTGCACGTGGAAGATCGATTGCAGCGTCACATATCTCACTGTTCACCACAAATCCATTAGAAGCTCATTTACCTGATATTCTGGACTCCCATAACGGAAACTGGATGTCATCCCGCTGAGCCTCTCCTTCATACTTCTGAATTGCTTGTAGAACATCTTCCTGCATTGATAGATTTTCTCAGCGGAAGGCTAGAAACCTGAGCTAGTAGAGCTCAATACTTTAAAATGGAAATCAAAGCTACCTTTGCAGAAGAGAACTATATCAAATAAAACGTTCATCAACCTCCAAGTCGTCAATATTGAAATAGTCGTAATCTCTACGAGTCAGATTGTTAGAGAGCAGTTGGTACGCATGTTCAATCTGCAAAAAAAGTCCACGGTTATTTGTCAATGACATGCGAAAACCGTTGAAGGCGTCAACAAGTTTCGTCCCATTAACGCATTCAAAAGTGCATCGTTCAAAGTCTGAAACTTATAGTTAATCTCAGAGTCAGTCTCTTTCCATATTTAGCGGTTAACTAGTGCTTTGAAAAAGTAAAAGTTCCAAGCTGACTTTTATCAGAGTAACTACAAATTTTTCTTATGGCTTGAGTAGGTTTGGTAGGCATCAGCAACTTCCGGTTTTTGAATTCGGACCTCAGTTTTAAGTTTGAGCGATGAGCTTTCCATACATTGCTAGAACACATCATGTAGAAGTACATTTTTTGTAGATATGATTATTCTCAGTAACTGATCAAACCTTTGATTGCAGGATTACCGGACAATCTGCATGGAGTTAGCACTCTAGCTAAATATTGAGTTGGAGTGTTCTAGAGTTTATCTTAATGTTGCTGCTCATAGCCCAGGCGGAGTGGTATCAAGCTACAACAGTAAATAGTAGTAGCATCAGGCACTGCTGGTAATAAATATGGAGACATCCTAATCAACTGCTGCAAAAGATTTCAGAATCTCAAATTGACAAATCCAAGTAGGTGCATAGAGTGAATACGCACCCATCCATCGTGCTAACCTAAAAAATGAAACGATCACTATGGAATGGAACAGTATTTCCTACCTGAATGATTCGCTTGATTTCACTTTGATTGTACAGCGTATCTGCTGGCCTGGAAAGACATTTTAAAATATGTAAAAGGATCTACATAAGAAAAAACGAAACTATAATAGTGACGCTTTCTTGTCTCGAATTTCTAACTTAGCAAATACGATTCCAGCTGCTGTGGAGTATGTCTGACAATTGACTGCAAATGTAGATGCAGTTTTTCAGTCAAGTAAGTCCTTTAGTATTACGATTTAAATGCTCGTCAAAGCAAATGGAAAGAACAGAAGAAGCGACCACAGGAAGTCCACTTACCAAGTGCTAAAATGTTGTTCGTAAGCTGTCAGTATGTCAGCTTCTGTTGCATTCATCTGCAAACCAAGCTCTACAGCAGGCGGTGAGAATATCAGGTACGATTTGTCTTCTGTATGAATTCTTTGTCTTCTGTACGTATTAACTCTTTACTCGTTTCACAAATTCGACAAAGATTCCACACTTTTATCAACTAACGCTTGATTGTTTAGAACGTCATTAGTTGATTTGTTCGCGCTAAGTGCAGGTCAGTTTAAAATTCAAGATGACGGTATGTGCTCAAGAACCCCATGAACCAAATCCTGACGATATGCAAGACCACAACGCGTAAAACAGGAGGCTCCTGATATTCAGATGCTTGAGATACAATGTCTTAACTTTTCTATGTTATTCACGGCAGTCCAAGTATGCGCAAGTTAGAGCTTTGAGAGAACAGAAGCTCATTCAGGTCCACCGAAAAAACATCAAGCGTGTATCACCTTCCTCCACTAAAACATTCTGTTAAGTGAGAGAATTTTAGGCTGAGGTTAATGGAAGAATCCCTCTACAAGTGGAACTGAGGATCACGAAAAGCAGAACAGACTGTCAGCTTGCGCAATGTGACTCTTTTGGCTCGCAAAGAAACTCGTAAGATGATCTCTAATGAACAACTCGTAATATGAACACGACATTCCAAAATTGAATGTAAAGGTTGATTATGTCACAATCTCCAGACAAGAATGATAAATCTTCTCCATACTGTAGCTTTCACCAGATTCACAATAAACGTAACATAGCATACGTCCTCGCAGCACTACATTAATACTGAACCCGATCCGATGTCACTCTGAATTTTATAAACGTCGAGACCATCTTTCAAATTTCCGGCTAGCAAGCGCCTAGAGGATACGGAATTCTAACAAAGACAGCCTGTTCACACTTTTTGGTACATTACTCAGCAATTCACTTCATTGCTAGATATAATGATCGAGCAAAACTGGAAACAGTTGACCGAGACGCTTCCAGTTGCGAATGTAATAAAATTTGAGAAAACCACCATAAGTTCCAATTTGATCTGTGATCGGGAAGGGGTGTACAGGACACCAGAACTTACGATCATAAGGAGATCCAACAGCAAAGTCAGTCAGCACAGCCAGTGCTAAGACTCCCACCCACATTACTGACTGTTGCATTGTTGAGGCTGAGATCACGTCTGGGCAATTGCCTCGGACTAAAAGCAACACCACCCCTTCAAGTAGTGTTCGTAGAAACGATCGCCTTTACCTCAACTCCACAACCCATATAATGAACCTCCGGATGCCTCACCAGCAAACTGGGTTCCTCAATATTTGGAGATGCATGATCTGCCGGCCTGAATCAGAAACGACAGAGGATTTCGTTCCTCACTTAAGAATTGGTTTTCTCACATCAACGCCGAATAAAACGCGGCACGTCAGCAGCCAAAAACGAATCATTCGGGATGATTCAGCTGTCCTTGAATCTGTAAAGATTCATGGACGACCTGTGCCCTTCACCATCACGCTCCAAAGATGCGAGGAACATTCTACTTGCACATGGTACATACTGTACTGTACATCCATTTGGTCTCTCTGGACGACTCACTTCTCGGAGACAACGCTACAAACGCCAGCCACTTTGTCAACAAAGCCGAAACATTAAAACGCTGAAGGTTTAAAATCATCTGATAATATGATTTTCCCACATAATCAGATGCTGCGGATTCAAGCCCTCTTCCCATCATTCATGTCACTAGGCTGAAATAATTATCCAGGCACCATTCAAAGCTTGACATTTACTGAGAATTTTAATAATGTGTGTGATCATTACATTTATACTTATTCTTCCAACGTAATAGAGAAGCTAGTGATCCCGCTTACTTAACCGGCACGTAAATATTTGATTCACCTCAATGAATCTACATCTCCCTAACACAGAGCAAATAATTATTTGTGTCGTAGAGATCTTATACTAGCATTTTCGTATAGCGTTCGCTAAATGATTCATTAACTTTTATTTATATATATATATATATATATATATCACTATCCACAGTAGATTAAATTAAAATTTAATATATTTTTAATGATCAATTTCTTGATTCATGTCTTAAAATCCGTAAACTCTTTTGCTGACATAATTACATAACACAAAAATCTAGAAGAAACTTAAACCGATATATTTTTGTAAATTAGCTCAACCAAAACTATATATAATATTTGTACACTCTACTTTACGATGAACTGCACTTTAAGCATTTTGATAAAAGCATCTGTAGAAAATACAATGAGTTATTATACTAAACAGTTGTTATCGAAAAACATGATATCTTTTATTGATGTTCTTTACTCCAATGATCTTTCATCCTCTAAATGAAATTAGATGTAAATCACTCTCACTATCCAAATGAAATTCACAATTTCATGCATTAATCTTTTCCACATGACAAGATTTTTAATCAAATTGCCTTATACTTTGCTTGTGCTATTGCTATATAGTTAGTCTTTTTCATGAAAATATTTATGCAGTTTTGCAGTATAAAATTTTAACTAATGGTTTTGTCTTCAAGTGTAAACACAAATCAACTTATTCAATTTTTTCTATCCAAATATTGTTCATTATCAACATTTACATTGCTAGTCAGGGAATTGGATGAGCAACAAAATCGAAAACTATCATACCCTTAAAATATTTGGAAATTCATGTCACAGCTTTTCAACGTAAATGTACTAAAGTTGATTGTCTTATTTCTGCCTAGAGCAACAAAATTATTAAATCCAATGCAGATGATAAAATTAGGAGACTTTAGTATGAACAGAGCTTTGGCTTTATTTGAATATTATCTAAGCTGCAAATATGTTTCATCCACAAATATTATTCAAATTAAATGGCCGCTAATTCATTATTTATCTTTAAATATATTAACTAGATTCAAGTACATTTTATATTTTTTTGATCTCATGAAAACACTCGTTTTTATTATTTTTGGATATCAATATTTTTTTTTAATTTTGATTTACAAAGAACATAAAACTTCCTATGGAAATAAATTCATCAAAATTATATTACAATAATTAAATTTCTATTCATTTGAATTTAACTGAAAAAACTTAATATTGTGCTTTACAAGCATATTATTGCTAAATGTGATATTAAGAAACTACAAATAATAATTTATCTAACAATTCAAATATAGATTTTGGTGTTACTTGAAAAAAATCTGTTTGATTGATAAGAAAAATGTGAATTCTAATTTAAATCATTTATAACTAAAAATAAAGCTTTTGGTTAATGTATTTACAACACTTACTTCTTCAAATTTTAATATAACAATAGAGCACATTGTTTATAGAATATATCCGACTTAGATTATTTATTTTATTTCAAGAGAATATGCACAACCATTGAAAAATGCATCACTAATCAGTTATATTTTAATTTTAAAAACATCATGTTAATTCCATTATAAAAAAAATTATCTATAAATTTAAAATGTTCACATATCTTGTTAAAAACTCATGTGATAAACTTGATTGGCTCAACATACAATTTGTGTTTTCTAATGATATTTTATTTATTTACTCAAAAATATCATTATACTCAAAATTATATATTGTATCATTATAGCTTATTATGTTTTTTTAAATAAATATGCAATTTGTATCAAAAGCCATTTGTTGATAGCAAAAGTACATTTTTTTGCTAGTTTGAGTTTCAACTTGGACGTGTAACTTCATGAAAAATGGATAAACTTTGTAGTTTAATGTCAAAAATAAATTCATAGATAACTTGAATAATTATGAATAAAAAACACAAATGCACTTCTGGAAGAGGCCATTGGAATTTTAAAATAATGAGCACTAATTTTGTGACGATGATTATCAAACCAGCTTGTGGCACTGAAGATGACATGCCATCGAATTGCAGATGTATTAGGACAAGTTGATTTCATCTTGTCAATAAACTTCTGTTGTAAAAGCGGTGCGAGATCATATATACTAGTGTTGTATACCATGCACCTCCATTGAGCTTCAAGTATAACTTCTGTAGAATAATGTACAATTGATGGAAAATATACCACACACACATGAAACCTTTTATTGAACATTGTTGAAGATAGATGATAACACCAACAACAACATGACAAGTCATGTTTTGAGCTCCGTATGACGATACACCAATTAATTAATTTCTACAGTTGAAAGAGAGTACATCAAATAATTTGTATAAAATTTTAAACTGTGACAAATCTGTATGATAATTGTAAAACGTTATTTATATAAGATTCAAATTATAAAGTTAGCGTCGCCAAACAAAACGAGCACGAATATCTATGTATGAAGTATCCATGCAAGTTGAAACATCCAACGCAATTGAGAACGTTCATACCATGCATATGATATTAGAAATGATCTGGAAATTCGCATCGCATTAGACGTGTACAAATGTAGCAAATTTTCAAATCATTCATTCAGCCAAGTTTTGAGATCATGGCAACTTACTTTGTTCCCTTAAGCGTCAATGCAATCTGCTTAAGACTAATACCAATGCCAATGTATTTATTTGCAAGCTGGTATGTCTCAACTTGCATGGGATTTTGATAGTCACAAAATAGTTATTTGTGTGAGTATCTAGCACGCATTGCGTTCTCAAAGGTTTGGACTTCAAAATTTTCAGTATTCCATAACATTTTTTTGATGATGAACTCAACTATGCTTTTGTCAATGGTGTAGGTTACATGGTCAGTATCTCTATCCAAATGTCATAGAAGTGTGTTCACGCAGGATACCTAAACGGCAAAGTAAATCAACATATTTTCTTTAAAGAGGTCATGATACTCCTCCCAATGTATTGGGTGCTCGCTTTTGAAATAAATGCGATAATTTTTGAGACACTGGACCAAATATCCTCTTTATGATTGCTACTGGACGTTTCACATCAATTTTATTGTCACGATCAAATGTTGTACAAAATCTGCATGCAACGGCAATGACCAGACTTGTGATGACATTTGTTTTTGAATGTAAAAGCTATATTCTTGTTGATGAGACAAATTGAAAGATGTCATGAGAGTTGAAATAGCTGGTTTTGCTTTTCCAACCATTTGTTGTTGTGAAACTATTAAATAAACAATTTTGAGATTAATGATTCACTGGATTTGATATATTAATCATCTATTTTTTAATGACTAATGTACATAACCTGGGCATGACAGATTACAGAAGGAGCACTATTATAATGATCGGAGTGAGAGTATACACATATGACTTGGAGTACAGGCCCCTTGTCACGGAATAATAGTGTTCGCCTTGTGGTGTTTCGAGAGTGGTAATCCCAATCAATGTGATGTCAATGATAAAATCTCGTCAATGATAAAATTTCGTCATAAAGAAAGATTGGATTTCATACAATGTGACGATTTAACGAGTTGATCCTTCGAGCGTTTAATTTGAAATTCGTGCTACGTATGGAAAGAGTGTCACTTGCATGAATTAAGGCATCACATGGTCAGTGTTTTGTCAGGTAAATTAGATACGGCGTGGAAGCTAAGGTTTACTAGACTAGGCTTGTAAGTGTTTTATGCATCATTAGATTTGAAAGTAAGGTTTGCTTGAACCTTGTAGCTCCATACACCTTCACCCAACCGAAGCTTCTACTGTCAGGTTTAAGAGTTGCTGTCCAACCGTACAAAGTTATCTTACAACCTATAATATTCAAGTCTAGTTCTGGCTGTAGCCAGCAGAAAGCTCGGTATCAGAAGTAATGATAATATACTACAGTACTCTAGAAAGTCGAGAATCACTGGATTTTGGGATGGCGAGAGCATAGAGGGTGACTAAATATTAGCTTCCAGAAGGGAGTCTGTAAGGACAAACCAAATGTGATCCTGCTGAATTGATGCGGCGTCTTCGAATCTCAACATTTGGAGCCTCTCTTCCCTCAAGTAGGTTTTACTGTCTATAGAAAGTAATACCGTATGCCTTCCCTTTGGAATGCAAAAAGTAACAAGGAGATCTGGAATCTTTTGTTCGTGTGGATGATGCTTTCCTCCGCACCGTTGTTCGAAAACGGGCCCTAGAAATACGGGTTCACCAAAGAGACAGTCATATCAGAAGTGTAATACGATTTAAACCCATTGTATCACAATTCATTCAGGTGGTGCTAATGAATTGAATTGATTCATGAAATTTGCTTGAAGTATAACTATTTGCAGAGATTTAGTCCCTTGGACTCATATCTAATTCATTGAGGTCCCTAAAACCTCCCGTTGTACCTCAATATTTCTTGCCCCAAGGCATGGAAATGAACTAGATGAGATTTCTGCCGTAAAGTTCTTACGAACCCATCATAAATAAGTACCACATATGTCGAGGTTTTATACCAAGGGGTACATGTCGTCAGGATACGATGGATCGTATACAGACAAAGCGTGAGAAGGGAGAGTGTTTATGACCCCTAATAAATTGTTGCCATTTATTAAGTTTCAGAACGCCATGAATCCAGTTCGCCAGTTTTGTTTGTGACACACGTAAAAT